GAATCAGTGACCCCTGCTCTCTGACTCACAGCTGTGGAATTTTCTTTGTGCTTCAACAGTAGCAGCCAGGAGGATCTGCCAATGTCTGAACCCACACCATCCAGCTGATACACAGCATCCAAACAATTCAACCCTTTTCAGGCATCTGAGTGGCATTCCAGATTCTACATAAATCTGTTACCTGTTCTAGGAGGCTTTGAACTTGAATCTAAACCTTGGAATCGGTACAAAAGCATTTTCACATCGTTCCTTTATGCTCCGTGAGCATGAACAATATGACGCCCCTGATTTTTTCCTTTACAAACAAACCTTTGGGAGGCAGACCACCCTCCGTCAGGCCCCCATCCCACACACGTCCCGCAGACAGTTTTTCATTCACACATCCACCTCTAAATCCACAGGATCAGCTGAGCCTGAATACTGACTGGAAAGCTGGTAGATTAACTAAGGAAGTTTGTATAGGGTTCTTCATACTGACTCAGTTATAGGGGATTACCCTGTTGCTCAGAGATGAGTAACCACTGTTGATCCAAAGACTTCTCACATCAGTCTTTGATATTGAAAATGGTCCCTTAATGCACAACATTGATGTGTTTTCCATCAGTTGCAGATTCAAATCCATGAAAAAGTTAAAGCTATTTCAAAACAGTGCCTGCTGTCTTAAAGGCTGATTTATACTTCTGCGCCGGACCTACGGCGGAGCCTCTACGGTATAGAGTACACGTTGGTTTTCATCAAGGGGATAATCCATCGGCCGGAAGTTGAAGCCTCATGGGAGCTGCCATCTTGTAGCAGAACTTCACTTGTGTTAGCATTTCCATTGACTCCCATTCATTTTGGCGTCCCATTTACATCTGAGGCGTTTGAAGACTGCATTTGTCCATTATTTATTTCTAAAGAAACTCGACAATGTATAAAATGCTCCATTACCATGTAGCTTATGATATGCCCCCATAGAAGCAGTTTTTTGTAAAAGTAGGCAAACAATTCAGTCATAACCAAGTGACTCTCTGTCGCACAGTAGAGAGATTACCGTATGGACACAAGGATAAGCTCGCGGGAAACGTGGCAAAATGACAAAATAATTAATCAGAATACCTAGCAAAAGTTTCTCCTCACACTTTCTGCCTCTGCAAGTTTCGAAAGGGAAGGATTCAGATTTCTCATGCCACAGCCACTAGAAGACAGACAGGTTGCTCACTTCACATCTACGTCATCAAGCTCTGTTTGAGTCGGTTTGAGTCTGTGCGAAAAAAAAAAATCCCTAAAAATTGGCTTCACTTGTTTCAATGGAGTTCCAATGGGATGGATCTGTCCACTTCTTATACTGTCTATGGTTTTCATTTATACTTCTGCGTCATTGTCCGCGTTGATGCACAATTATGCAGAGGGAGTATGTATGTGAAACCCGAGGAGCGGTTCTAGCTGGCCAATCACAGCGCTTACAATTTACCGCGCTTATGGTAAAATTTTTGGAGAGGTGCACGTCAATGTACGCGCACTACACACAGCCTACGGCGTAGCTACGGCATGAGTTCGACACAGAAGTATGAATTGGGCTTAACGTGCGTCATTTCATCAGCATCGCCAGATGGAATTGCAAGGAAGGGCATATAGGAAAACTATATAAGATATAAAATATGATAAATAAAAGAAATATGATTTAAGTGACTTTGAATGTGGCATTGTTGTTGGTGCCTGACAGGCTGGTCTGAGTATTTCATAAACTGATGATCTACTGGGATTTTCACACACAACCATCACTAGGGTTACAATGAAAAAGAGAATACATCTAGTGATCGGCAATTCTATCGGTGGAAAATGCCTTGTTGAACCCAGAGGTCAGAGGAGAATGGCCAGACAGGTTGAGCTGATAGAAAGGCAACATTAACTCAAATAACCAATCATTACAACCGAGGTCTGCAGAAGAGCATCTCTGAATGCACAACACATCGAACCTTGAAGCAGAAGGACTACAGCAGCAGAAGATCACACCGGGTGCCACTCATGACAGCTATGAACAGGAAACTTCAGAAAACTACGGTTCACACGGCCTCAGCACAATTGGTCAATAATAGATTCGGAAAAAAAAAATGCCTGGCTTAATGAATCTCGATTTCTTCTGCGACATTCAGATGATGGGGTCAGAATTTGTCGTAAACAACATGAAAGCATCGATCCATCTTGCTTTGTATCAAGAAAAGTGAAATCATAACCAACCACCCCTTTAAATTAAAAGTACTGTCAGATGAAATCCTGCAAGTGTCATCCTTATGGTTGGACCCATTTGAGAGGCGGCACTGACTGACATGTATGCTCATGAATCACTGTCACAAAAACACTCACACAGCAAAATAATACAGCGTCACGACAAACAAAGTCTCGCTTTTAGCTGTGTCTTTTAACTATTAAGAATTTCTAACGGCAAAAACATGAACTTTAACTACTGCTTGGCTTTACATCATCAAGTCAGCTGTCACTTTAGAGTGAGGCCCTGTGCGGTTGCACACTTGGCACAGGCGAGGAACCCCAGAGTGCAGTCTGGACGATGGGGCAGGGCGACACATTTAGGCGGGGCACCACATGTTGCCCTGCCCAAATGTGTCGCCCCACCCTATTGTGCAGACTGCACTCTACTTGGCTTAGCTCGACCCATGCCCTGCCATTTTCTGTTATCCGGGAGTGATGCGGTGACATACTGCCAAGATGGTATATGAATATGTATGTTATAAAAAAATATTTTGAGATAAAACTTCACCACACATCTGGGGACAACAGAGACTTATTTTACATCATATGAAAAGTGCATTATGGCCCTTTAAAAAATATTTTTTTCAATTTAATGCATCACTGCTGAATAAAAGTATTATTTTCTTTAAATCTTATACTGATCAGTAGTGAATAAATAATTGTGTTGCATATAGGAAATTATCATGCTCTGTCTACATCACTGTGTTACGTTAAAAGGTTCTACCTACCACTGGCCTACTTAAATGCTGAGAAAATAAACACAGTATATTACAAATTATGATTTATGCATATCATCCCCTAGTTCACAAAAAGGTCTTGACAGGGAAGTGTAGAGATGGAAAGTTCTTGCAACCCCTAGGGGTTTGGTGGAGGGGTCAGCTTCTCAGAGCATGTGACTCCCATTCGCAGACAGGAAGGGGTTCTCACACACTGACCGATTTACTCAAAGATATGCTGATGATCCTGATGGACTGGCCTGGATTATTGTCCTTATACAGCAAACCAGTTTGTTTGGGTTGTAAATGTTCCTGTTAGTTTCGCTTGAAATTCACTGTGACAGCTGTGGTGGACCCCTAATCTGTCCAGACCAACCTGTCCCCTTAACCTGTTTAGTTATGCTTCAGCTTGTACATGAAGAATATAACCTGCTCACCCCTCATAGACAGCTGTGCTAAAATTAAGGTGAGTTTGGAAATCCCTTTAAATTTAATATTACATGTTTATCGTATTTATTATAGCTACAAACTGGGTCTTCAAATAAAATATTGAACTGCCTTTACATTTTAGGATGGCCATATTTTAGATAATATTAGAGCATACATCTAACAGATAAAAAAATTTTTAGCCTAATTATTGCGCCGAGTAGGCTTAATTAATTCAATGTAAAAAAAAAAAAAGCCAAACTGATCAATTTAAAAACGGACTAGGCCTATTTTAACAAATATTTGTGTGTGGAATGTACAGTATGTTTATTAGGCCATCCATCGCGTCTATTCCAAAAAAAGTGCTTCACCTTTTTTCAGCGCTTTAGCAATATGCTAACACCAAGACATTAAGCGCAGAGTTTTCGAGAGCCATCTCCGTTAAAGTAGTTGTTCACTTTTAAAAAGACTTTTGCGGATAATTAACTCACCCCCATGTCATCCAAGATATCCATGTCTTTCTTTCTTCAGTCGAAAAGAAATTAAGGTTTTGATGAAAACGTTCCAGGATTTTTCTCCATATTATGGACTTCAGTGGGCACCAAAATGGTTCAAGGTCGAAATGAGAGTTTCAGTGCAGCTTCAAAGGGCTTTAAACAACACCAGACGATGAATAAGGGTCTTATCTAGCGAAACGATCGGTCATTTCAAAAATAAATAGTTTACGTTTTTTAAGCACAAATGCTTGCCTTGCTCTGTTATGTGATGCGTGTCCGTGACTCTCCTGTTCGAACTCGTTCATCAAAATGAACGAATCTTTTTTTTGAGTCATTTGGAAATGAGAGAGTCACGAACGCGCATCACAGAACAGAGCAAGGCGAGCATTTGTGCTTATAAAACTTACTGTTTTTATTTATTTTTGACATAAGAGAGTAAATTATCAGCAAAAGTTTTTTTTTTAAAAAAAAGTTAACTAATCCTTTAAGCCTATATACAGCCTTCGCATATCCACTTTTTTTGTCAACACTGCACGGCAGTAAGATGATTTTTGTGAATGTGAGAGACTTCTGATTTATAGGGAAATAACTAAAAGAAGATCAAAGTGAAAACTTTTTGAAACTTTTTGCGATACAAACCAGCATAAAAAAAAAAAATGCCTGAAAACGGATGATTCTGGAAGCCAGACACTAAAATTATAAATGGCTGCGCACGCTTACCTGTGGAGGGCTGTTTTTGGGAAGGGAAGTGGAATTAAAAAAATGATAAAAGGTCTAAAGGTTTCCCCCCTTGTTTTCTTTTGTTCTTTTTATCTACTATTATGAGAGCGCAACAATTAAACGCCTAGCAATCACATGTTTACACAGAAAACAATAGAAATGCGCAGGTTTTTCTAGTTGGGAACAGACCTGGAATCCAACAGCACTAGCCTACTAGCCTATTGCTTGAAATATATTATGGCTAACATATTAAGCTATTGCATATAGGCTACTTTGAACGCACTATAGCTACTTAAATATGTATAGTATTCGTAGCCTATAATATCTAAGTAAGATTGCACAACTCTTTCGCACAACTCAATTGACTTGGTGTTGTTTGATGACGCGCCAGAGGAGGCGCGGCAGTCGCGGAGGCGCATCTGAAAGAAAGAGCTGTTGAAGAGACCAGAAGAGAGGATAACCTCATCACATCACTTCAGAATCAGCCTGAGGAATCGAGTTAACCTGACACAAACCGCTCTGGACTCATCTGCTTCATATTAACACAGCTGACAGGCTGGAAAGTCTTCTTCACGTGTGGAGAATGGATCAGCACCAAGGTAAGTGGACTATTGTGAGAAGTGATCGCTCGGACTCGGAGTCTGTTTGAATGGTGTCATGTCAAAAGAGTTTTCCGTACATCCAAAACAGCCCGCTGTAAACAACTTTCAACTTTGCAATGTTTGCCATTCCTCACTACGGCATAACGGATCGTGGGAATCTCCAGAATCTCTCTCCAGAGGGATGCAACAGGGGGAAATTGAGTCTACAGTGAAAGTTGAATTTTGCTCTGTGCTTTCACTCTTGTGTGTTTCTCGCATTCTTCTCAGTTTTGGTATTCTAGTAGTCTATTAGAGTTCTGAATGAATCTATAAACAAGCATGTATTAGAGAGATGCTCCTGTCCAGTAGCAACAATTGTTCTTCCAGAATTCCTTGGATTCCTGTGGTTTAAGTTTTTATATGCATAGGAATGCAGACCCCTAATATTTCATGACTACACTGAGATAAGACTCTTCTGTATGGGAGTTACAGCAGCTTTTGTGCAAACTGATGTTTCTGTCTGGAAGTTTTTCTAAATGAAAAATCATCAGTTCTGAAAGCTTGAACACGTAATGTTAAAAAATAACAACAATCATCAGGCATTAATGGTCAGCTATAATTTGGTGGCTATTAGCTTGACTTGCAAACATATTACAAGCAATAGTCCAAAGTTAATGGAGGCTGTGGTTTGGATAATAAAAACATCTGTACCAGAACAGACAAAGGCTTTCACTTCATATTTCCACTTCATATGCTGTGTAAACTTAAATTAGTTAAGTAAGCTAAGGACTACTTCACGAGTTCCTGGTATTTGCACTGAACTTGTCACTTCACCATTCCAGTCGGTACCTTTAGTTTAATTTGTTATAATGTATCCATGAATGAGATATCACTATTTGATCCTTTAATATTCAGCATCCTTGCATCTTTGCATTTGTATTTATCTTAAAGAGACAGTTTTGCCCAAAAATGAAAGTTATATCATCCTTGGGTCTTTCGAGTATTACATTCCCTCTTCCATGGAACATTAAATTAGTTAGACAGGATGTTAACATTGTGCTTTTACAAATAATGAAAGTGAATGGTGACAAGGCGCTGCCAAGGTCCAAAAATGACAAAAAAAGCATCATAAAACTGCTCAACATGACTATTCTAAAGGCCCGCTCACAGCAATAATGCTATAACAATAACTAGCATCCACACCAACACAATAAGGTTTGGTTTATTTTAAGCCCACGCTGCAGTTGTCATTTGCTTCACATGCAAGAGCTCATTGAAGTCAGATGGGTTCTGATTGGCTGTCAATGCTTGTGAAACTGTGTCATTACCATTATAACTCTGGTGTCATATCCTTATTCTCATTAATGCATGATAATTATAGAGAGATAACTATAATGATAATTATATTAGCATCCACAGCAACAGGCGATAACATGCTGTTTCTTATTTGTTGTCTGACACTTTAAATTCTATGTAACTTTATTTTGTTCAAAATTAACTACATTTAAAGAATGGGTCAATGCACCATCAACCCTTCTTAAAAACCGTTTTGTCTTACCCAGATTCACTATGGTAAGCCCCATTATAAGTGTTTATAGACAGAGCAGGATGGTTTGTGCGCGAAATTGCTTGTGTCACTCATCCATGCGTGTCTCGTCATATCAGTAAAGGTTCTCTCGGTACTTTGACGCATACTAGTGGGTTACAACTAGTGAAAAGGTTGGGATAGAGCATCTAAATCTCAAACCTCTTGGGATCACCTGTAACAATGCGTAATAAAACGAGAAACAAGATTGGCTTGTTTTTTTTTTTTGGTTTTTTTGGAGATGCCCAGAACAGGAAATTGAAATGTTGTAAAAGTAATGCGGAGATGACGTTTTTATTACTCAACAGGTGAGTAATGTGTATTTAATTGAGCAGCTGAATTTTCATATGTAGCTCTCTATCAGATTTCATTGTAAAGCATTATCTATAATAGATAATGCTTTACAATGAACTCTGATAGAGAGCTACATATGAAAATTCATCTGCTCAATAAAATACACATTACTCACCTGTAGAGTCATAAATACGTCACCTCCGCATTGTGAAGTGTCATTTCATTTTGGGTTATTGTAGAGGAAGTATTAATGGGTAAAAGATACAGTAACATCTTCAGTAGTCACCTTGAGATCCTTTCCATCTAAACTGGCTATATCTCTTAAGTCTAGTAGTGAATATTTTATGAGCAGTATGATAACCATATTCATCCGCACAGTCAGGCAGAGCTGAAGCACAACCAAAACAAAACAAAACACAATGTTGTTAACCACTAGAGTGCAAAAAAGTTACATATATGCCGCTTTTCCATTACCAGTACCAGCTCGACACGACTCGGCTCGCTTTTCGTTCCGTTTTCCATTGCAGACAGTACCGCCACAAATAGTACCCAGTCGTCATAGCGACACCTTTCGTTCCTTGTTGCCCTATATATCTCTCGCAGGATCCTCTTTTCGGCCACCAAACAAAGGAAAGTCTGCACCTCCTCGTTTTACCACGGCGTATTCTTCCGAGTTGCCATAATAACAGACTGATCTCATGAAGTAGCGTGTGTATGACACGCCAATTCGTATTTCCATTTTTGGCGTGCTATCAAGACGCATAATCGCTTTTCAGCGTGTTTATGAACGCCGTTGACTTAAAGTTATTACTGTATATATAAATATATGACTTACCTCAACCCCGTCCCTAAACTTAACCGTCACTGGGGTTAATGGCATTTATGAGTGTTCCCTTACCATCCTAGGAAAAAAAGAGTTCGCTCCCCAGATGTAGATCTACATTTTGCTTCATTTCGCGCGGACATTTGACGGCGTGTACAGACACGTGGAATCACTCGGACGTTAATGGCGTAGACATACACGTGGATAGCTCAAAATGCGTAGAGATAACACGCCACTTGACTCGAAAGTGGCGTGTATGTTTACACAAAAGTCATGATGTCATGTTGCATAATGATAGTAGTTAATTTAGTAACTATCTCTGGCCAAACTATTTAAAAATGGCGGGGTTATTCTGGATACTCCATCTGGCTCGTGTAATGATGATGCAGTGAATGGTGACGATTCTCTCTGACCAATCAGCAGTCGGCATTGTGTGCACGTGATATTTTAGTATCGCCTTAGCTCGCTCAGAACCTTGCCGGAGGTGGTACAAAAAAAAAAAAATACCCAAAAGCAGGAACACGTACAACTTTTACACAGTGGAAAACCAAACAAAGGCGAACCGAGTCGAGTCGAGCTGGTACTGTGTAGTGGAATAGCGCCATCAGTGTACCAGTCAGGTGGATTCTAATTGGCTGTCAATGTTTTATTGTTCTGAGAGTCATTCCAGGGATATTGTTGCTCTGACCATGACACAAGCTTTTGAAAATGGGTTTTGAAAACTATACTGTTATCTTCCCCATTTAAACGAAATTTGTGAAAACATATTACATGTTCAGTCTAAAGGCGCGTAGTGTTTCTTTTCAAAGTCACATCGCCAACTACTGGCCTGACATAGTACAGCCTTTTTAGTTGTTTTCGTGGAACCGTATGATTGTTTTGACAATGTTATCATCTGTATGCGGAAAAAGGTAAAACCTTTCTGTTTTTAGTACATCGTTGTTGTGTAAACGTACCCTCAGATTTCGGCATATTTCTTTTAGCCACTCGCATTGTATAGGAAAAACAGCATCAACATTCTGGTAAACATCACCATAACAACATCGTCTACATGAACTATTCCTTTAATTAGCAGGCACGTGTGACTTGATTAAATGTGGTGAGACGCTTGTGCATACTGATGGTTTAATGACAGCATTGTCTTGACGCCTAAATGCTGTCAGGACAGGCCTACAGTTATTGTGGTTAGACTTCTATGAGGCCATGCCTCTTAAAGACTGTTTGTTCATTTTGTTTTCATGAGATAAGACGTACACGGAGGGAAGTAAGATAGAGGGAGGAAAAAGGGATAGTGGGAGGAGGGAGATGGCATTTTAAGGAGTATTGCATAATTAAACACTGAGTGGGTGACATTTTTCTTTGTCATATGATGCTTTGTTTGTGTGCAACATAACATAGCAGAAACAAGCACTGTAATGCTGTTTACATGATGAGAACTGGTTCACATAACTATGTGGATGACATGAACGTGCACGTTTTTGAGTTCAGGAGAGCTTTCAGTTGTGGTTTTGGATAATACAGTGCTTTGAGCCTCAGAATTCACTGTTAGTATCACAAAACTGTTGATTCTGGCATATTCGGTGTCCATTTTACATGGAAATGCTTTTGTGTGGATATTTGAGCCTGTGAAACTGAACTAAGAGGCTTAGCTCAAACTCCTGTTCCCATTTAAATGATGTGATGCAATAGAAGGGTGTGTTGAAGAAAAAAAGATTAGGCCTTCAGGTGAGAGCATCTAGAATTTCCATAAGAAATAAATAAATGAGCCAAAGCACCAAGCATTTAAAACAGATAGTACCCGAACAAAGTATTGAAACCCATTCTCTTTTCAAACCCCTCCAGTTTCCTCCTTTCCCGCCTTAATTTCTCTCTTCAAAGGCAGCTCATGGAACCAGATCTCACCCTTGAGGTCCGGCATGATACCAGCATGTTTCCAGACCCACCCACGGGCTCCGCTGCCTGGGCCAGTGCTCAGAACGTGTCAGTGTTCCAGAAATTTGCTGGAGAGACAGGGACGTCTCGTGCATCTTAATAAAGACAGCCTGCGCGCTGGAAGCAGCTCCAAAGGCGTCCCAGAATGAGAGATCAGCACTTTTTTTCAGAACGGGTCCTTGAGTTCATGCCCTCATTATGCTCACTTCTGAAGAGAGTCAACAGGGAAGCAGCATGCTTATTATTAGTAAACGAAAAGAGCAGATTCGGAGCTGAAATACAGAGAAAAGGAGCCAGGACTCAGCACTTTTCTTGGGATTGGCCTGAATCGAATCGGTCGGGTTCAAGAAGGATCATTTTTATCCTTAAACCTTTCAAGACGCA